TGTCAACCTTGAATCATGAAAGTTAACTAAAATTTGATTATTTGAACTCAGCTAAGGTATTAACGGTCGGGGGTAAAAGGGGTCACCAGAGTTGATCTCAAGGATGGTGATAATAGGTTGGAAGGGCTAATCCCGACCACATCTATACCAGTGGTATCGCCTCGCTCACACTTTCGCTGATACACGTTTCTATTCTCTCCGTTAAAATTTGGGACTTCTATAAATTTTTACCTGATCTATCTTGCAATTTATTTTTCGCTATCACGCTCAATTCGTATTTTTAGATTATTAATATGTAACTTGTGCGATCCGTACGAAGCAAGACCACACCCCCCTAAGCCGACGAGCAAGATCCGGACTCTATAGCGTGCCCCAGCAAGGACGGGATCTTCTCAACACACAACGTTACACGTTACAAAAACCACCCTACCCACTTTAGAAACCACCTTGGAAAAGTGCAAGCTTGAAAAAAACGACCCTAGCTGCTGCTTTCACTGCGGTAACTCTCACGCGGCCAACTTCAGAGGATGACGCAAATATCTGCAAGTCGCATTTAGGCAAAATAACCAATCAAAGCTTAACTTTTTTAGTTAATCGAACACGATTCCTTCAATCAATCTCTCACCCAACGTTGGAAAGGAATCATTTGGAAGTGTAGCTATACCACCTCCCGTGGCTCTTCCTAATAAATGAAGAAGCTCAATTCCATTAAGGAGTCCCCAAAATACTACCTGTACATGCAAACGTTGCCACTTTTAAGTCCTACATCGATGCTCACACCGTGCTCAACATACCAATAACAACCTGCAGCGATCTGGATGCATACGTAGATAGCTTCACTTCCACAATTACTCAAGCCGCCCCTCTGGGGCTATGCCACCTCAGCGCCAATCTGGTCTCCCACCTAATAGAAGGGCACCCTTATTAACTCCGGAGGAAAGGGCACTGCTGGATCTAAAAAGGCACCTTAGAAGGGAATTCATTGTGTCAGGCGATCCCACAGCGTCTATCTAGCATTACTAATAGACTGCGCAGGTTGCTAGCGAAAACCCGGCAAAAGAACATTGATACCTTGCTAGAGGAAGCTGGCCCGGACAATTGCAGCGATTTTTCGATATGGAAGCTAACGAGAAGAATTAAAAGACAGCCGCTTGTCCAATCCCCAATACAAATTTGCTGAACATCTGCTAAGCCATGCTAATCCTGGGACATTTTCCAAGACAGTGGAAGCAAGCCCGGATTATCATGATCCCAAAGCCAAGCAAGCCACTTTCTCAAATCGATTCCTACCGCCCAATCAGCCTGCTATCCACTTTGTCGAAAGTGTTCGAGTGCATTTTACTCAGTCGGCTGTTGGAACTGCCATAAGTAGAAGGCCATATTTCTCGACACCAGTTCGGCTTCAGAAAATCCCATTGCTGCCCAGAACAAGTCCATAGCCTGGTCAACCACATCACCCACGGACTCGAGCATAAACTGCATACTGCAGGCGACTTCCTTGATGTAAAAAAAGGCTTTGGAAAGGTGAGGCACGAAGGCCATCTTTACAAAATCAAGGAACTTCTCCCTGCAACCTATTTCGCCATCCTGATGTCTTTCATTGCCGATCGAACCTTAGTTGTAGCAGTAAGAGACTCACGATCCACCTTGGCACAAATTCACGCAGAAGTGCCCCAAGAAGTCTACTTGATCCATTCCTATCCCCAACGTACACAAGTGATATGCCAGTTCCGTCGCCCACCACAGACGCTCGTATGCTTCTGGCTACTTACGCTGACGACACGGCCTTGCTTGCATCCCACTCGTCCCAGCTGACAGCTTCGGATGCTGTTCAGGACTGGCTGAGTGCGTTTGAGTCCTGGACCAAGCAATGGAACATAGGTATAAATTGCAGCAAGTCGGCATGCGTAACTTTTTCTTTAAGACTTGTGATCGACATCGTGCATACCTTCAATGGTGACACCATTAAAAACGCCACCTCTTACTGCTACATGGGTGTACACTTAGATCACAGGCTCATATGGAACACCCATATCACGGAGATCAAAGCCAAGTCCGTTCGAAAACTCCAGAAGCTCGATTGGCTCCTGAGATCCAAAAGACTCCAGCTTTCGACGACAGCCTGGACATATGCGATCGAATTATGGGGCACCAGCTAAACTGGCTCAGGGTAGTGCAGGCACGTGCTGCTCGACAGGCATCCGGAATTCCCTGGTATGTGACAAACCAGGCCATCCAAAAAGACATACACCTTGTTCCGGTGGGCGACCTCTTAAATCAACACAGCCGACGGTACGCGGATAGGCTAACGAGTCAACCAAATCCACTGGCTCGCACGCTGGCTGACCCGAAAACTTTTAGACTTTCAAAGAGATTCCACCCCTGCGATCTGTCTTCCCGTGTTGTAAACAAATATTGTAAATATATGTAAATAATTGTAAATTATTGTATATAGTCTAGGCCCATACCCCATATGTACCATAGACACCCCATCTTCTAAACGCCGGTTAGGTTCAATTGGTCCTGAACGATTCCGGCGACAATAACAGAAATGTAACTTGTTAAAGAACAAAGAGATTTTTATTTTTGATTTTTAAAATTTGAAAATGAATATAAAAAAGCCTTTCCTTGAAGCAATAAGGGACTTGGTCTTATGTGCCCCCGAAAATAACGAACGGCCAACAATTACGGTAGCGAACCGTAAACTCAACCGCGAAGCCAGTGCTTACACTGCTGTCTAAGCACGTATTCTGGTGTAAAAGAGACGCGATGCCAGGACTTAGGCAAGCAACAAATCCGGTTTAGTGAAAAATTCCACATATAATATGTATAAATTCCTTTTCATGAATTCTGTGAAAGAATAACAGTGGAAGGTTAAATAATATATTTTTTAGATGGCTAATGATGTGTCTCTACCAAAACCAACATATTCTGCAATAGTCGACTTTTTCGAATCGAAATTCAAATCGCCGAGATACAAAACAAATCCACTGACATGACATAGAAATCTTATGCTTACACGCGTAATCATATAGTCAGAAACTTGCATATCATTATACCCTTGCACAGGGTATTATAATTTTGGTCAAAAATGTGCAACGCAGTGAAGGAGACCCTATAAAGTATATATATTCTTGATCAGGATCACCTCCTGAGTTGATATGAGCATGTCCGTCTGTTTCTACGCAAACTAGTCTCTCAGTTTTAAAGCTATCGTCTTGAAACTTTGCACACACCATTCTTTCCTTTGCACGCAGTATATAAGTCGGAAGGGCCCGGATCGGCCGACTATATCCTATAGCTGCCATATAACTGATTGATCGGAAATGGTATAACTTTGGTGTTTTTAAAGTTAGAGAGTTAAAATTTTAAACGCTATTTTTGGCAAAATAATTCGACATTCCAAATTTCATAAGGATCTGCCGACTATATCCTATAGCTGCCATATAACTGACAATCGGAAGTGACCCAACTTTTGTGTTTTTGAAGATAGAAAGCTGAAACTTGGTACAGATTTTATTTTTGGTCAGTTAATCCGACCAAATTTACCAAATTTCATAACAATCGACCGACTATATCTTATAGCTGCCATATAACTGAACAATAGGAAATGGTTTTTGGTAGAAATACCAACTTTGGTATGATTGAAGATAGAAGTTTGGGACTTTTTTTAGATTTTGTATTGTAATAAATTCGATTTTATATTCATATTCCCATAAGGATCGGCCAATTATATCCGATGTTTGCGATACATATCCGGTTTTAACTGCAAGGGTATATAAACTTCGGCTTCGCCCGAAGTTAGCTTTCCTTTCTTGTTTTAGATATTTTATTGTAATGAATTGGTTTTATTATGATATTCTTATAAGGATCGGTCAACTATATCCGATTTTTGCGATATATATCCGGTTTTAACTGCAAGGGTATATAAACTTTGGCTCCGCCCGAAGTTAGCTTTCCTTTCTTGTTGGCAAATAGTAGCAGGTGGCAAATAGTTAAAAATTATACGTTGTTGGTTAATTCTTCTTGTAAGTATGAATCTGAGCGCTTCTCTTCGTTGGAGTTTTCTTTGTTTATTACGTTTATCTCGTGCCTCTTTCAATTGTGCCTCACGTAACTGCGCCATACGTATATTTATTATCTTCTTATTATTATCTAATCGGCTTTCTAATTGACCGTTCGACGACTCAAATTGGCCCAATTGCGTTTTCTTGGCATTGCTGTCTATAGATAAGTGGTCGGCGGGGCCCGATTTCAGGGGCATATGACAGACACATAACGTTACGCTCACAGCCTACTTACTGTTATTCATTACTATAAGAGCAGCCATTTCGGAGGAGTAAAATTCCCGCTGTATCCTATGTCCGTCTCTTGGCTCTAAGCTACCTCCCTACCAATTTTCACTCAAATCTCTTCTGCCGTTCTTGAGTTATAAGTGGTGTAACATAACACGACTTTCTTTTATATAGATATAGATATAGATATAGATAGATATAGATATAGATATAGATATAGATATAGATATAGATATAGATATAGATATAGATATAGATATAGATATAGATACAGATATAGATATAGATATAGATATAGATATAGATATAGATATAGATATAGATATAGATATAGATATAGATATAGATATAGATATAGATATAGATATAGATATAGATATAGATATAGATATAGATATAGATATAGATATAGATATAGATATAGATATAGATATAGATATAGATATAGATATAGATATAGATATAGATATAGATATAGATATAGATATAGATATAGATATAGATATAGATATAGATATAGATATAGATATAGATATAGATATAGATATAGATATAGATATAGATATAGATATAGATATAGATATAGATATAGATATAGATATAGATATAGATATAGATATAGATATAGATATAGATATAGATATAGATATAGATATAGATAGATAATATTCATAGTATATAGATATGTGTCTTATCTTAACTTACCTGATGTACTATAAGGAATTTTTATGCATTTTCCATCTGATCCACGAAAGCTCCATTGGTGAAAAGGACAAACAATGCAGTCTCCGTCTACCCGACCCCCAACGCCAAAGTTGGCTCCTAAATGGGGGCAATATGCATTCACAATAAATACTTTATTATTTTGAGTGCGGTATACCACTAATTTTTCCCCTAAGCAAGAAATAAAAATTGCCTCACTAATGTTAAGCCGGCACGATTCTACTATACCATACCAGCCATTAGGATAAGGAGGTGGCATATTGTTAAAGTTATCTTGTTTTGCCTTTCGGAATCGATTAATTGTAAATCGTTTAGAGTCCTTTCGAAAAATACTTTCTGGTTGAGAACCGCGCTAAAAATAAAGAATATTGAAGATATTATTTAAAAGCATAACGAAAAATTTTAAACATTTAAATGTTTTAAGAATAGACATTCTAGCTCCAAAGGTCTGTATCTTCTGTTCTTGTTTATGCATTAATGGTAATGTAGATACCCAGCCCTTATTAAAACGCTTACATTTTAACGTTTTTCATAGGACTAGAAATTGTAGTCCCCTATTTGTTAGGTATTGTAGGTCAACTTATGCACAACACGACCCTCTTAGGGCCAACAATGGTCTCTAGAACCACAACCATTCTTCCTCGTTATCCTTCTAATTTTTTTTCTTTTTTGAGATTTAAGCCGTATATTCTGAGGCAACACAAGAAGCTACAATATTTAGTACCTGAAATTAATGTTCAGATTTCCCTTTAATTCTGTTCAATTTTTATATGCGCTCAAACTCATCTTGAGCAGACGTCAGTTGCTAATCAAATAGTGTCGCTATCAGTGATTTCGATCCTCCTTTCGCTGCTGCTTTCGTTCGCAAAAACAAATAAGGGTCTCTCCTCTATATTCTTCGGCCGCGAAGTGTGCCTTACCTAAGAATAACCTAGTCTTAATTAGACAAACATGGGGAGCACTGGGCCACCCAATTTTGGGAGCAATCGGTTCGTTGCTCTAACTTCCCGGAACTTCCAACAAAAAATACAACGAACCCCAAATATGTTATCATCTCCGCCAAAAAGTGTGACAATCCTATTTCGGAATACAATTGCTTTTCGGTTCATAAAACGCTTAAGCTTATTAATAATTATTTTGCCTCAATTTCTAACGGAAAGTTGTTTAACTTTAAAAGACGGAAAGTTGTTAATGCTAGTTAAAACTGAAACAGATCCAAACGCGTTTATTAAAACAACACAACTTCCTGGTTTATGCGAATTTAAGTGCAAGCTTGACGGATCTTTAAATTCCATAAAAGGGACCATCTACGCACCCTATTTAAACGGTATCCCCGAAGACGAAATCGTTGAGAATCTTAGCCCACAAAAAGTCGCCTCAGTGCACAAATTCCTGAAGCAAACTGAAAAAGGCCCGCAGCCCAGCGGAGTCATATTGCTTACATTTGATTTATCTCCCTTGAATCTCCCTCCCAAAATTAGTATCTTATGGCATAATGCTAAAGTCTCGGAATTTATCTCTAATCCAATGAGGTGCAAGTCTTGCCAAAAATTTGGCCACTCTCAAAAAATTGCAAAAACGAGCCAGCATGCAATACATGCGGTGGAGCTCCCCACTCCGGTAACTGTACCCCCAAATGCGTTAATTGTTCCGAAGCTCACGCCGCCTCTGATAAGCATTGTAACGCATTCAAACAGCATAAATAAATACTAAAAATAAAAACAACAAAAAAATTTACACGTTTACGTCACGTTTCTGACAACTCTTCTTTTCCTCTCCCTTCCTCTCCCCAAAATTCTAAATCACATCACAATAACTCTACAAAAAAATCAGCTGCTCCAGTTGAACTCGCGACAACATCAAAACCCACAACTAACAATCATTCCCACTCTTTTTTACATTCACTACCTCTACACTAAACAACATAAACCTCGAAAATATTAACTCTGACATTGGCTCCCCAGAGTTAATGACAAACAAAACGAAACACATCTCTGATCTTGACTCCGACAGGTCAATGTCAGATTAATAAATAAATTAAATCACAATTATAAAAAAAATATAACTAAGCCTCTGTTGACATATAACTTAAATTATTTAACACTTATCCATGAAAATTAAAGTTAAACAATGGAACTTAAATGGCTATATGAACAAATAAGATGAATTAAAAATCTTAATAGCTAATAAAAGCCCAGATATTATATGTCTTCAGGAGACCCAATTACCATAAAATCAAAAAAATATAATCTGCCCAAAAACAATATATTGGTTATTTTACTAATTTTCTACTAAACTTAAATTCGAAGCAATGAGTGGGTATTCTTGTTAGAAGGCACCTACCCCACACTTTAATACAATCCGCCCAAAACTCTAATATCTTGCACATCGCTATCTAACTAGATTTTGGACAAAAAATTAATCTTAAAAAAAAAAAAATAAAAAAAAAAAAATAAATCTAAATAAATAAATAAATAAAAACCATTAAACATACAAACCATCCTTTAATAAATTTGGGCGATTTTAACGCCTGGAGCTATGCCTGGAGATCATGTTAAACAAACAACAGAGGGCGTAAAGTAATCGAGGCAGTCAACTTAGTACTGCTAAATGATGGCTCATTTACCCATTTTAACACACACAAGACTTTCACAAATGTTGATCTCACTTTAACCTCTCCACGCATCTACCCCTTCTGTAAATGGTCGGCCCTCCCTGACCTTTACGGAAGCGATCACTTCCCGATTCTCACAAATTTAACCCAACAACATAATTTCGCAAAAAAAAAAATTTTTCCCCAAATACAAAATAGAGATGGCAAATTGGGATAAATTTAGTTCAGTTTGTGAGAATCTCTCACAATTTCCATTCGATAATAACATCCCATGTCAAGTAGCCAAATTCACTATATGCATAAGAAGTGCTGAAAACCTTTCAATACCCGAGACCCAGTCGTTTACTTATTCAAAAAAGATTTGTTGGTGGAGCTTCAAAAGCTTCAATAAAAAAACATTTTTGGCATGTATACAAACATCAAATGAACGTCGCAAACCTTATTGCTTATAAAAAGCCCAACGCATATTTTAAAAGAGCCGTTAGAACAGCAAGAAGGAAATCGTTTGAAGCTTTTACTTCCAACATAACGCCACTGGCTACAACAAAGAAGGTTTGGGCTGACATTAAAAAACTTGTAGGAGCCCAACAAATTTGTTGTAGGATTTCAACAAATTAAATATATAATCAAAACAATGTATATATATCCAATATATCCAAGCTCAACAACACAGAACCATTTGAAATTCCTAACGGGTTTGGTAAAAAATGGTCGGAATATTCTATGGATGAAAATTCCACCACCGAATATACCCGACTAAAACTATCGTTACTAGGCAATATATACTCTCCAAACAACCTAACATTGGCAGCTCGACAACTTGAAAGGACTTTTCTGTCATTGAACTCGCAACTCTACTAACAGCCAAGGGGAAAAACCCTGGTTACGACCGCTTTTCATATCCCATGTTGAAGCACTTAGGTTCAGCAGCCAAAGCCAAATATTTCAATATTCAATATTTAACCAAAGTTTCCCCATGTTTGGAAGTCTGCAATAGTTACTCTTATATATACACCCAACAAACCGCCATCAGAAGTGTCAAATTTGCGCCCCTTCTCTCTGCTTTCATGCCTCAGCAAAACCCTCGATAAAATGCTAGCCCGTCGACTCTTGTGGTATATAACAAAAACTAAACGTCTAAGTCCGAACCAAGCCGGTTTTAAGCCGCAGCACAATTTCCATGGATTCCCTGCTGCTCCTGCAGCACCTTGCGTCGGATGCTCTTTCCACAAAAAATCACGTCACCCTGTTGGCGACTGTTTTTGAAAAAGCTTTCGATCGCGTGGGTGTCCATACGGTTGTTCAACAGCTTGCAACAGGATAGGTGGGTAGGAAAGTCTTTAGCTTAGTAAAGACGCAGCGCTCATTTCGCGCTTAGATAAATAATGTCCTCTCTTCCTACTTTAAACTTCACAACGGAATTCCGCAAGGATCCCCGTTATCTATTGTTCTGTTTATAATAGCTTTCGAACAAATTAATAACGTCATAGCTGTTTGGTCATTAAGATTTTTCCTTGACCGTAAATAAAAAAGGCAAATTGCAAAGGTTATAAAAAATGTGAATTTTCTGCAAGCAGAGACTCAAGTGAAGTACAGAGAGGACGGCCCGACTAGTCACTGCTAAGCTAAAGCTCTCGATAATGGAGAGGGCCGCCCGACCTAGACATTTGCGGAGCTAAAACTCTCTAAAAAAAGCTAGTGAATCGAGCGGCCGAGAGAAAGTCGGCTTGCGATCAACCAAGCTACTTGTATATACTAAAGCCTAATAAATAAACATTACACTAAACATTACATTAACATTATTTAAACATCAACATTAAACGCCGTGCTGCTGCCTGACCCGACAATAGCAAAGCATAAACAAGTCAAATTAATAATGTTTGCAGATAACGCTATTATTGTAAGAAAAATTAAAGACCTAGTACAATTAAATAACATTCTAACAACTATACTAGATGAAATTTGTAATTGGGGGCTGGGTTCTGGTGCATCACTTTCACCAAACAAATGTAAAATATTGCACATATGTAAAACGCAAAAATGTACATATCATAGCTTAACCTTTTATACACTTTTAATTGAATGCGAATACTTGCTAAAATTGAATATGGCCTGCCTATATTCGGGCTGCAAGTCAGCATATATGACTACTTAGCCCTGGCTATCACACTGCTGTTAGACGTAGCAACAATGCATTTCTGACATCACCAATATAAATGCATCTTAGCTGAAGCCGGGCTTCCGTCTATTGAAAACCTGGTATCCGACTCCATAGCAATACTCATCTCAAAACTCTTTTGCTCCCCCAAAAAACTCCTGCAAAATGATTTGCTAAAAATTGTTAAGCAACGCAAAAAATTTAAATGCATCTCCACCCTTCGGAGTTGCATTACACTTGCCAAGCACTTAAACATCCACCTGCCGCCCACCAACCATAATCTTCCTTCACCACCTTGGCTACTACGGGACTCTACCATTCAGACTAAACTTCAAAAACTTCCCAGTATATCACTCCTGTTGTGTCCTATCGCAAAGTTTTTGGCAACGAAACGAGCAAGCCGATATTTAAAAACGTCGCTATTCACCGATGGGTCAAAAAGCGAGATTCATTAATACAGAGGCCCATGAAGCTGGTGCTGTTCTGGGTGCCTAGCCACAAGTGTACGAGGGCTGACAATAAAGTAATGTCTCCAATTTTTTTTTTCATAGAAAATGACATTTATTTACAAAAAGCGATA